CTTTTTTTTTTTTTAGAATGCTAATGACTTTAGCTTTGATTTCCTAACAGGTGCAAGTAATATTGATGAGGACAGAAAGTGGTTGCTTTCAAGAGACTGATAAATGCAAAGAAAAGCACCAGCTAGCTGTCCTGTTACCAAACAGTGGTCATATGCAATTTTGGCTTTTTAATTCACAACCTAGGACTCTCCTATGTGTCTATCTTAGCATTTCTATTAGAGTCCCGGAGAGTGCTAGGGACCCATAATAGTATATAAAAATTGGAACAGTTCAAACATACTCTAGAGCTAACAGCTGAAGCTGAAAACCAGATTCAGTGATGGGAAGACAGCTCCCCCCAGGAACTGCAGGAACAACCCAGCTGTTGAACTGCAGTTCTGGGTCAAGATAAGAAACCATAAGCAGGAAATGCTAACCTAGGAGATGGGCAGGGATGGTCCAAGTATAACGGTGAAATAAAAGTTAACTTAATTTTACGTAAGGACAGTGGTGCACACATGCTTTATCACAGGCATGCCACACATCCATATATATAAACATACATATTCGGACACATACAATTTGCAACCTTTTAAAATTATTCTAAAGTTTTTGTTTTTAGTCTTTTGATAGAGAGGATATATTTTCTAAAGAAAACAGTATGGCTATGGGAGGGAAATTGGTAAATGGCTTTTCACAGTAACTACTGAGCATGAAGTGTTCACTACTGCCCCTTTATTTTGCCCTCTTTCTCCTGACCAGCCAGATCCAAATAACCTTTACTGGCTGCTAAACTTCTCTTGGGAAATCAAACAACTCTCTGGAATTGCAGTAATAAACGACAATTTCTTACAAAAACATGTGTAAAGTAATGACAGGATGAAGTATTCAACTCATAGAAAGGAACCAGGGAACATATGTAACACGGAAAATCGCTGATAAATGTCTCTGGTGCCATTCAATTATGGCATAAGCAGAAATGAAAAAAAAATCCTTCCAATTATTTCAGTAAAATCTTCATTTATTCATTATTTCAGGGGCTGAGCAAATGGTTTGTGTAAACAAATCCTTCAGTAACACGCGCATGTTTATTTTAGCCATCTGAAGGCTTCTTCTATGTTTATATAAGCCATCAGACACATACAACCACTCGCTTGTGGCTTTGCATTTTCTTAAAGGGGTGAAGGGGGAGAAGGGAGAAAGAAACAATAAATCCAGTTTCTCTTTTGCATGAAGCACCCATCCAATGTTTTAAAATAACATGTTTATATTATTCTTAGACTGTCCTTCAGCTTTCTTTTTCATTCAATTATGCTGTTCTTTCATATATGCAAGTGCAAGCAAGAGCCTGGCTAGGGTCTGAAGAAAGCAAGATAGTTAGCAAGTAACTGCTGTATGTATTTATACCCACATAACTCACTTGTGCAAAACAACAGAACTTATGCATGGAGGAGACAAAGAACAAACACAGCAGTACTTAGCCTGAGCAATTCATCACCTACCATCCTCCTAGAAGGTCAATCTACCCCCGTTGAAGTAGAAGCAAGGCCTTCAGTATTTTATTCTGTATCAACTCCAGCAACTAACCATTTACTTAGGCAGGAAATTTCATTCTCTCTAGATTTAAGTAAGCCCTTAGCTTGTGAGTTTACACACATGCAAAACACACACACACACACACACACACACACACACACACACACACACACCTCACAAAATTCTAAGGTCAAAGCAAGAAAACACCTTTAGGATTGTAATCTGGAAGGTCTGTCAAAACCCTGCCCAACAGTCAGCTGTGGTGCCTGAAGGAGTTTCCAAGCTGGGGTTGGATGTGGCAAGCACATCTCCAGCTTGAGTAGGATGCACAGATCACTGCCATTTCCAGCCACCCAAACAAGCTGCATGAAACATGGAAATACCTCAGAAGGGCAACTGGCCCAGGCAGGAATGAAAGCAAGTGAGGACAAACCAAGTGACAACATAAACAGTCCCAACAAAATAAAGCAAATCCAAACACTTGCTTTGCTATGACCTTTCTATCTACAGTCTCCATGGATTGCCTTTGCGTATAAACGTGTGTGTGTGTGTGTGTGTGTGTGTGTGTGTGTGTGTGTGTGTGTGTGTGTGTGTGTGTAACAAAAATCAGAGAAAAAAAAAAGAGGCTATCAACTTGAGAGTGGATGAACATGGGAGGGGTTGGAAGATGGGGAGCTGGGAGGGGCTAGAGGTAGGAAAGGGAAGGGGAAAGTGATCTAGGTGATTTCAATAAAAAAAAAATATTAAAAACAACAACCACAACACGTATGACCTGCGGTGTGTTCTTCATCTACCACATCAAAGCGCAGTCACTGAAGTCTCTGCCAAACTGAGATGACTACTGCTTTAGCTGTCCCTATCTCTCTTAAAAGTGACAATGGTACAGACAGTTTTTCTTTTACATATTCTATCTAGAAACAAAATCCATGAAGTTTTAAAAACATAGGCCATGTTGCCTCCAACTTGCCTGCCTAGCCTCCCCAGTGCTTAGGACTAAAGGCTTGCTCCACTATGGCCCACTTGTGTCTATTTTTGAAAATGGTAGCAAAACAAAGTGAATTGCTGTCTCCACTGAGCATGTTTATTCTGAACTAGGACACACAAATTCAAAGAGCTGTGTGTGTGACCACACAGTACTTAGGACAGCACCTCCACTCCCCCAACTCAGAAAACCCCTGCAGAATGTGTAGATACACCTGATGTCCCTTCTTGAGTTGTGACAACAAGAGTAGATGCAACTCAAAGTGAACTTCAAGGTTTTGTTGGGGGCTCAGGCCATCACACCACATTAATCCAAAGAAAGATTAGTATCCTCCAAGAAAGGGGAAAAATGAAATCAATAAATTCAGGTGGTTTCCCCACCCCAGATTCACTATGATCTGAAAGCTGGTTGTCACATCAATTTTCTGGCTGTGAAAGGGAGCTTCAGGATGAACAATGTTTCTTCCCCCAAGGACTGGTAGTCATTGTGGTCATTCTTCCCTTATGTGTGTTTCCCTTCCTTTTAGGGGATACCAAGTTCTGATTCCAGAACTACTCAGACCTAATTAAAAAATATATTATGACACCAAAAATTTACATCTTTTTGGTTTTAATATGCTTCAAAGATACTATCCTTTTCTTGATTAAGTAAATGCCAATCAGTAATCTACTGATTAGGAAGTTCTGACAGCTGGAGTGACATTTAGAAACATAAGTATCACCTTCCATCTGATCTGCTGTCCTTGGGAACATAGACCATTCTGCTGACAGGCAAAGCATGGAGTATAGGATTGTTACTTAATAAACTAATACAAACATTGTGTTATCAAATCTAATTAAATTAACTTTAAATAGCTTACTAATTCAGATTATTAAGTCACTTTCATTAAATTTAATTAAGCACCATTAATCATTGAGACTATATAAATGAGATACCTCCACCAAGTTTATCTTCCATTTGTATGTATATATTATATAGGTTTTTTTCTACGAATATAAACTTCTTGGGGAAGAACATCGCAACTTTTTTTTTTTAAACATGGAAAAATCATATTGTAATCACTTAATTGTTAACTTAATTAAATGCCATGGAATTTTTAAAAACCAAAATCAGGGTTGGAGATGGCTAAGCAGTTAAGAGCATTTATTGCTCTTGTTGAGGAGTGAGATTCAATTCCCAGCACCCACCTGGTGGCTTGCAACATCCTTAACCGCAGGTCCAGAGACTCAAGTGGCTTCTGACCCTGCAGGCACCAATTATGCACATGGGACATATACATATGCAGGCAAAACACTCCGAATATAAAACAAATAAATCTAATTTTTTGTTTATTTGTTTGCTTTTGTTTTTTTTGAGACAGGGTTTCCTTGTGTAGTCCTAGCTGGCCTTGAAGTAGCTTTAACGATCAGGCTGGCTTTGAACTCAAAGAGATCTACCTGCTTCTGCCTTTCAATTGCTGGGATTAAAGGTGTGCATCACCACTGCCTGGCTGAATAATTCTAATTTGATAATTCAAAACACAAAACCTAGGTAGCCTTTTTAGTTTTTGTCTGAGTAAATGGAGATGTTTGAGCCTACAATGGATCCCTGCACCCACTGCGGAGTCAAATACCCCTTTCATAAGTAGCATCTTAACACCTGGCTTCGTGCTTCACCTAGACAGTGTAAGGAATGCTTACAGTCAGAGCAGGGGTAAAAACTGTTGGCCCTATTTTCAGGAAACTTAAGGGATTACACTGTTCTCTTTTGCTCATCTTTGTGTTTTAATATATATTTCACCATGAATTATTTATTTGACACAAACTGCTTTGCAAAGATAACAACTACCTTATAAGTATTTTTCAAAACCAAAACATAAGACATATCAAAACTATTTTCAAATAATTTCTTAGCCAACCTAATAAAGTCAATTATATCAGCCTGCAAACAGAAATTAAAACTACTTAAAATTTCTTCTTTAACTATAGAAACAAATAATCTTTCCCACTCCAAAATTTACTAGCTCTGTGAACAACTGACAGGCTTAAAACTTCTTCTAGTTTTTTTTTCCCACTGAAAGAGGAATAAATGATACAAAAAAAAAAAAAGGTTTAGAGTTAGAAGGAGAGGAAAGAGTTGAAATAAGAAAAAGCAATAATGTAGAAAACCAGTCTTTACCCTCAGGTAGCAGAAAAAAGCTTGCCTAAAGCTACGATTTCATTTTCAGGCCCTTAAATCTAAATGTCATATTACACTCCTCCCACTTCCACCGAAAATGGTATAAATTGTCCCAAACATTTGACAGTAGTGAGAAATTCCCATGATCAGTTAACATATGCCACAGTCCCGGGTTAACCTGATGCTGCATCCAGAGGAGCCAAAGGGGGGAATGAGGGAATGGGGATGGTATAGCCAAACAACTAGATTTTTAACATATTTTCTGTACAACTAATTAAAAACAAACACTTTAGGTCATGTAATTTTTAGGTGTAAGTGTAGGGTTGGAAATAATTAAAATGTTACCTTTGCCAAGTAATTCCCAATGTATCCTCACTGGTACTGGGGTATAAATGCCTGCCGTTTTGATTCATGGTCCAGTCACAAATCCTCAGCTGTCAATTGAAACCTAGCAGTCAGATATGGATCGAGCAGTACTACAGTTTTTAGTATTTAAATGAACACATGCAAACTAGTACTGAACATGGCATTACCCTTACTTTCCCAAGAGGCAACTTAAAGAAACAGACAAAATTAAAAACAAAACAAACACAAAACCAAAAAGAAAAAAAAAATCTTACTATATAAAAGCAAAATTTCCAGACTTTTCCTTAGGAAAAAAAAAGTTATTGCAATATGCTTCTCTATTAATTAAAGCATACAGAGAAACATAACAATTAGCCAGTGCTTAGAACATAACAATTAGCCAGTATTAGAGTATAAATTGAGCTGAAATAAAAGAAAACGTTAATAATGTTCAACAGAGAGATTATTTTAGAAAGGAAATAAAAATGCGTTCTTTTTCTCTATGCAACATACCAAATCATCTATGCAGAGTAGAATAATCAATATCTGTGAAGCATGCAGTTTGCAAAACAGAAGACATGCGGTTTAGAGGAGAAAGGACCCACCCTGCCTTGACCCTAACAGGTAGAGAAGCTGGAAGACATCCCGTTTCTCATGTTACGAATTACATTTTACTTAAAGTGGCATTGTTCAGATAGAGTCAAAAATGAGCTTGAGTTTTGTGTAGAATTCAGAGGCTTGGCACTATGAATGTTTCCCTGCATGTGAAGGAGGTGGAGAACGCGCTGAGTGGGACCTGAAACAAATTCTCTCTAGATCTATGCATCAGCTCTGCTCTTCGGAATGCTTCCCAGGAATCCTATCCAGCTCTGTTTTGGTTAACAGCTGCCCTACAGTGCTAACAGATTTATTGAAAGGATATATTGCTTATTTTTATGCTTAAGAAAGTAAACTTATCTGGCATTGCAGGGGGGAGGGTGTGGGGTAGGGATGGGACACACTAGAAAATCATGGTTTTTAACCTTTGGAGAGCCAAAGTGTCAACTAACTGTATCTTGCACAGAAAAGAAGCTGTCTTGCTAAACACACTAACCTGGATTGCCCCTCTTCTGTGAGAGTTTCTAGATGGTGACTACAGCCAAAAAGCCTTTAAACATGAGACAAATTGCTTTAACTCTGTTGCAAAAACACCATGTTTAAAAAAGTGGACTATTCTCCCCTCAGACTAGTTTCTTCACAGCCTAAGAACAATCACCACATTTCAGTAGGGTGCCTTTTATCTGAAAATGTACTCCAAATTCTGAAGTTGTTTTGAAATTACTTCAATATTTAAAGTAAAACTAGTTTTACACAGAACTGGAAAAAGTCTCCTTGGGTAGACAGAGACAGGCAGAGAGAGAGAGAGATGAAGAGGCGGCTGGATGGGTGGAGTCTTCAGCTTGATGCTATAAAGAAGTCATAAATCAGAAAGTAAACAGAGAGGAAAGTAGGTATTCTGGAAACCCGCCATAATATTCGTACAAAAGAGAAAAATATATACTTATTCATTTTTAAACAGATGACATATTTCTGCTATTTCAAAGAAGAAAATGTGTTTAGTCTATAGTGTATGAGAAGCAACATTGTGATTTGTGTTTGAAGGGACACAGTGGGGCAGGGTGGATACACAGGATCTCACTATGTAGCTCAGACTAGCCTTGGACATGTTGTCCTCAGCCTGCAGTGGACTGGGAATACAGGCCTATCCAGTAGTGCAGGATATGGGTTGTTTTCTTGTGTGTGTGTGAGTGTGTGTGTGTGTGTGTGTGTGAGTGTGTGTGCACGCACACACACACATGCACGAGAGAGAGAGAGAGAGAGAGAGAGAGAGAGAGAGAGAGAGAGAGAGAGTTCGTGTGTTCTCTGAGAGAGCCTTATAAACAGAAATGCAATGTGCTAGGCTACACTGCTTATCATCAGAAATAAGTGGGACACATTTCAAAGTATGAACCTTGAAAGAACTTGATCATATGCAGTCACTTGGGAAGCCACCCACTGATCCACTTTCACCAGTGAATGCCAGTTTTGAGTCTGGCTAACATTCTAAGAATTGAGATGTCTGTTCTCGAATACCACAACCAATTCTAATGATGAGCTACAGGTCTAGGGGACCCTTTGCTTTCTCTGAAAGATGGTAATTCTTCAAAAAACCATGAGACCCGGAGCACCACTCATGGGCTACCGCAGATGAAGATGAGACACTACTGTCTTCCTGGAAGGATCTTATGTAATTTCTGCTAGTTACTTGCTGGTGGCTTTTATTCTTTAACCACTCCTAAAACTTTCAAGTGGTCAATCCTTGGCTTTATCCTGAATGTTTAAAATCAACATAGATTTATCTTTTCTATCTTACATATACTTTCAAAGAGGCTAAACCAAACTAGCTATTTATTTCTACTTATCATTAATAGATACACATATACAAGTACATGCCTATGTCTTTTAGAGATATATTTTCTCTAAAACAGAAAAAATGCTTTAATACATACAAAATGATCAAAGATTGTATTCAACAATAATTTAATGCCAAAGAAGTTGGCAAGATACTAATTAATATTGAATTAATTTTCACTCATTAACTAAAATTATAAAATATGATTTCAATGTATTCATCTATATTATGGGCTAGCACTGCCTATGCTTTCAAAGCATCTAAGAAGACAAGTATTTGTACCATATTATCATTGTGTATATTATCACTCATTGGAGCCAACTTACTTGAGCAAGAGTGTATCTCTCTTATTATTATTATTATTATTATTATTATTATTATTATTATTTTCTTAACTATTTTCTTAACTATCTTTGGACTAATAAACTATCCAATAAAGTGAACCCTCAATAGATAAGGGAAACAAATAAATAACTGAAATAAAAATCAGCTATTACTCACCAAAGATTTCCCTGACAGGAATGTCTAAGAAAGTCAGTTCTTAAGCATCTTATTTAACCAAGACACTCGGACCAAGCAAATTCAGGACAGATTGTTAATACTAGAAGACTCAAACTAAGTGTATTTAAACAACTTCAGGAGAACATATGAAAATGCTTTATTATTGTAATTCAAAATGCTAAACACAATTTCACTTCACACTTAGATTTTAAATAATAAGTAATGACAATTTTAAAATCTGGGTTACTGACAGTCTAGCCACTGTTCTGAGAAAGGGTCAATGATAAAACGAAATCCAACTGTCAGTTATTTCTAGTCAAATTTTAAAGTTGGATTTTAAGTGGTACATCTCTATTGTATTTTCCTAAGTTCAAAACTTCTGAAGTGTAAGTTTTCTAAATATCTTACTTTACAAAATAAGAGGTGGCCTCCTGTCCCATAGCAGTCAAGCTTAAAAGACCACATGCAAATGAATTTAGGAACTCAGTCAGTTAGTACCATTTGACTGTATAGAGGAGGGGTCAATTCCTAGATTCTTAGTTTTCTTATACTCTAAAGGTCAAACTTAATCATATGCCTATCTGTACAAAATACAGTCACATGCCAATTTAATTATTTAATTTATATGTACCTACCAAAATAAAAGACAGTCTATAAAACCAATATGTTAAATACACTGTGCTCAGTATTCCACGAAGAAACAAGAAATAAAATAAATAGGACCCATCCCCAAAACATTCAGTATAGGGATCAAATAAAAACAATTGTAAACTACTGAAAAAAGAAGTGAAGGAGAGGGCCTACATATGCTCTTAGACTGCAGTTCCTCCTTTGGAAGGGAACCTTGTGCCTGGCAAAATTCAAATGAGATTGTGTCAAAAAAAAAAAAAAGCCAGGAAGGGAATCTGGTTTCTTTCAAATATCTGCACAAGGAGGCTGGGCTGTAGCTCAATTAGAGTAGTTGCCCAGTACTTACAAAGTCCTGGGTTTGGTCCCTGGTCCAAATACCACATAAAAGCAAGTACATGCTTTTACTTCTAGCACTTAGTAGAGGGTCAGAAGTTCTAGGTCATCTGCTATTACATAGTGAATGAGTCCAAAGCCAGGTGGGATTCTCAATTAATTAAGTAATTAAAATGAACAGTCTGCATAAGTAGAAACACCTAGGTGAAACACTTAAGATACTACACATAAATAAAGTATATTAAGTTGCTGAGAGCAACAGTGAATCATTATGGCCTTAAAGTCAAGTTTGAACACTCAGATGAAGGTCCTTCATTGTTACACAAGGGGACTTTAGTTCTTAAATGCATATAATTTGGGGAAAAAATAAAAGTAATTCTGCTTTGCCAGATTCAGCAAATAGGCAGTGTACTAACAGTCTGCCACAATGACAATAGATCTCCACAGAACCAATAAAGCATAAAATGTAAACTGAATAACCAACACGAGCAATTTTTACCTCTTCATTTTAGATTTACAAGGCCCTCAAGGGAATATCTTGAATTGCATGTTTTATGTTCTCTTGGATTACCCCATTTCTCCTGATAGCTCAGGGACACAGACTGGAGGAGGGGGCAATGGAGGCATATAAAAAGAATCCTCACTTGTGTGTTCGTGCTTTCCACTTACTGCTTGGATGGGTAAAGTTTTCTTCTATTAACTACTTGCTTATGGAGCAACTGAAACGAACTGTGAAAGGATGCTGTAGAACTTTAATGAACAGAGAAAATGATCTCAAGCAAACTGTCAAGAAGGAAAATCACAACCATCCTGGTACCTTAGAGTCACTCTGTCACTTTCTGAACTCATGCTTCTTATACTCAATGGCTATGAACAATCCATGAACTTAATCAAAATCACTGACTAAGTGGTGCTTTAAGAGTCCTTTTCTCTGAATGAAAGCTACTCTTGCCTATAGAACTTAAGGTGTCTAGGAATGCTGGAGACAATGAGACCCCGTCCTCCTTTTAAGATGTCAAAAAATTATACACACGTGTTCCTGTCACAAGGTAAAGGCCAAACTCCTGACTCCTAATTATTGGTTCTCACCACTATTCCACTATGCCTGTGACTGTCTCCCCTCCACCATGCCTGTCACTGTCTCTTGCCTGTCCTGAGATTCACATGCAGCTCAAATGGTTGTAAAATCACCTTAAAAATTATCCCAATGGAGACCTTTTTGTTTCAGGAAAGAAGACAGTTTCTCCTCGTGTTTTTATTGATTGGAATTTAAACTCCATTACACATAATTTTATTTTGACAGCGATTTGAATAGTATATCTACAGCCCTGTCTTTGATAATCCGAAAAAGCAAATAAACGAATTAATAATAAAAGGCAGACAGATAATGGAAGGATTTTTTTTTTCAATTGCAAAACTAGCCCCAAAGCTAAACATTTGCATAGCCATTCTTTTGACTAAAACTTCCTTTAAATGTGTTTCCTTTTCAGCAGGCATATGTGAAAAGTGACCTCTTACCATTTACATATCTACCCAGAAGTCATGTGATAGGCTTTTGCGTCATGCTGTCAATTATGATAACAGCCACAATAAGAATGGCCTGAGTGTTGATAGCCTGCTTCCTGGCTCTACTAAGCAGCTTGCTGATAGTCCACTTGTGTCCTTTTTCAATTGCTTGCTTCTATGTTCCAAGATTTGGTTTTGTCATTTGCCAGGACAAATATTATCAGGGGATTTCACTTCAAGTCTTAGTTTAAAAAAAAAAAAAGAAAGAAAGAAAAAGAAAAACAGAAATCCTACAGAGGCAATTTGTTTAAAAGCTATTTTGTGTAACAAATCTTTAGTGTAATGAAAAGTACTTTCAAATTCTACCCAGAAAAGTGTTGAAAATATTTCAGTATAACCAGTCGATAATTTAACTTGAAATAAGTGTTGTGCAGAAACACAGGAGATGTAACTGCCGAAGCTCAAGTGCCAATAAAACCCACGCAGTAAGTGATGAGGCACTCAGCCAATGGTTCTAGTCACAGATAGCCCATAGCCCTTAGTCATGACATCATTTCGAGACTGTGAGAACAAGCCTTATTTCTTACAAGTAAGAACTTACTTGACTTAATTGTCTCATTTAAGGAAGGCAAAGCAACTTCCTATTCATTCTGCCTACATTCTCCAGTCTCTTTCCAGGGTTAGGGTTTGTATGGTGTGTTCTCTCATGGCTACACAGGAAGTTTCTTAGCTTTAGACTTTCAGCTCCAATTTACAACAAATTTTGTGGTATTGATGTATATTACTAAAGGTTTCTGCTGTGAAAGCAATTTTCACCAAACTGTAATCAATGATAAATAAGCTACATTATTTTTAATAACTAAACTTCCTGTGATAGGAAATAAGTTCTCAAAATGGTAAACTTTTGAAGCTCAGCAGAGAAGGAACTGGTGTTAATTTAACTGAGTTTTCTCATACTACCTATTTACATTAAAATTGTTAGACTCGGTTATAAATAATCTCTATCCCCTCTAAGTAAAATCTGACATTCTGCTAGATAGTTCCCGCTTTCTTTCAAGTAGATAAAATGTGGGAGGTAGGGTTGCTTCAGTGTCAACAGAAAGGAATGTGTGCAGGGTACATGTGAGCTAGGAAGCAGGAAGAGAGGACTTCATTGCTCTGGACTTCCACACAGTGAAGTCAGAGTAGGTGTCCTCAGTGTTCCAAATCAAGACAAGGCATTGGCAGTAAAGAGCAGAGCCCCCTTTGCTAAAGCAGGATCCCAGAGTTCTTCATGCCACCACACCACTCTCCAGCAGAAAAGTTAAAAGCAGAATGAAGCTCCAGTTGAAGTTCTGGTTTGAAGATTTCTCGTAGGCCAGTGGCGAATGCCTTAAGTCAGCCAATGATTCCAAAGGGAAGCCAGGGCCAGGCCTTGAACAATGCTCAAGACTGACAGGAGATAAAGCCAAGTCTTGATCAGCTATATGAACTGAGTTATTATACTTCACTGGGAGGACTGGTTTTCATAACAAGTTAGCAACTGTCTTATGTGAGCCTTTCTGAAATATTTCCATAATTAAGTGACTTTATTTTTTTTTATTTAAATGCAATATCATATGTATACTTAGGTGAAATTCCAACATCAGAAAAAACACAACAATATTTCAGGGCAGTTAGAAACTGGCACAAATCAGGAATAATCATTATTATTTTTTTTTTTTAAAAAAAAGGAGCTCACAAATGTGTAACTACTAATAGCAGTGTGTAACAAGCAACTAAGCATCAAAGCATGATCATCGTCATTCAAATTTGCCAGTGTAGATTACTTTAATATTTTACATTTCAATGGAGGAATGCCAGTGTGATCATGTATTAGAAAGAGCTATAGTGAAAGCCCTTCTGTGATGTCATTTGGCAGGAAGGTTATTAGAGGACGGTCAAAAATATCCAATAATCTTAAATTTATTGTTAACCTTAATTTATGTAAGCTATATTAGAGCTCTTTTCTAAGGGCAAAAATAGCAAGCAACAATGCACATCAATACTTTTCATAAGCTGAAAGGATAAATCTTTATAAAGCAGCCCACATGAACTAAAGAATGTACCTGGTGACAATATTTATTTTTAAGGGGTCATGTATATTAAAGGTTATGGAGGGTGTTTAAAATGCTCCTCCGGACTAAAGCCACTGCCTTCTAATTTTGAATTTCTCCCAGCTAATATAAAATGATTGATCACTTTTATTTCATGTACCCCTTGATTTTCCTTTGCATTCATCACTGAGTGCTTTAAACCAAATGCATTTAGGAGCTGCCCTTCGAAGAGTGGTCTCTTTTAAATCTCCGTAAAGTAATGAGAAGACACAGTAAATCAATCTCTTTCTGCTGGAGGAAGAATAACCTTTCCTGGAGTCATTGAAACTATTTTGCTCTCTCCATCCTGTGCCATGAGTATGCAGCTTCATCTCTATTATTCTTAATTGGAAAAGATACAGACAATAGATTTAAACTGGTGCTTCAGTTAAGTGATATGCTTACATCATATGATAATACATTTATGTTGTTTTCTTCATGCCTCAAAATCATAGTTGATTATGAATTTGACAAACTGAGTTTCTTCAAATCAAAATTTCATTATATAAGAGATAAATTATCTATCTGATAGGTATTTAAAATTTTTAACTGTGGAGTATATGGCTTTTTGCTTCCAAGGATTAATACCATATATTCATAAATAGCAACCACATCTGAACTCAGAAAATATATTCATATTGTAAGTGGTCTTTACTCAATATTGCCCACTTAAATAACAAATGTCAGACTACAAGAAAGTGTCCTATGTATTTCTCAGATTAAAAGATGCCCAGATTCCTGCCCACAGCTGAGGTCCATGTTTTCATTGTGTTGAGCTTCTTCATGCATCTTTTGACAATGTTAAGAAAGAGGTAAGTTTGGTATGAATGAACTCTTGTGGTTGTCATTACAGGAAACCCTGACATTAATCTTAATTGATACCAACTAAAGCTGCCCTGGGTTAGGGCAAGGGAAGAGGACAATTGCTTCTCAAAGCATGGGATTGGTTATAATGCTCTAAATGTGTTTTGAGGTTAAAGGTTAAATAATGGAGGCATGTTTTTTTAATTAAAAATTAACTGGAAATTAGAGAGGTGTCATAAAGAATAATGGCAAGTCCTGTGACAAAAATATTTCTGAAAAAAAAGTATAATGATTTTTTAAAAAAAAACAAGTTTCCAAAACTTATAAATCCTGCATATGTTTAAAAACACAATGAACACATACATATGTTAAGTAGAACCATAATAGTTATAACACATTCATATTATAGCAATTTTAGAGGTGAAAAAAGGCAACATTCCAGAGAATTATGTTGAAGCCATTGGCTGGCAAAGCCACCAATTATTATTTGGTATTTTCATAACTATATACAGATGTCTTCAGTCAGTTCTCTTGTGTTCTGTTTTGTTATTTTAACCTTGCAAAATGTCAAGTATCTTGAATAAGCTATCATCTTTATGGTTTTTCTCTGAACACTCCATGTGGTGACCTTTACTATACACAGTCTATATCACCTTGGCCTGTGAAAGGGAAGGCCTGAAGAACAGAAAGCCAAAGCTAGAGAAGCCATTCTACAACTGAGTAAGTGGGCACAAGTAACTTTGCATGCTTGATACATACATAAACTTCAGACAAACACACAGACAACTTGGTGTTTATTCCCAGCTCTGTCTTATGTACCATGGCCTACTTTTCTTATGTAATGTTTTACATACTGTTAACTTCACACTGCTCTGTATCCAAACTTAAGAGCAGCAAACATATGCCTCATAAAATACACTTCAGTTCTGAACTGCTTAGAAGTATTTCTGTGACCCTGTAACTAGAATCATAGGATTTCTATGTTGGTGTGGTGCATGCTGTAGACTGTGGCTAATTTGTTTATGAGCCACCATTAATCCTGGCTGTAGTTTTTCACAGTTTGGGTAAACACTTCATTTGCATTAAATTTACAGCATTAATGAGATGTGAAATTTAAAATGCTACTTGAAACATAAATGATGTAAGAAAGCAGAATTCTCCCCCCTCAAAAAAAAAAGTGTTTTGTTGCATCTGAAATCAGTGAAGCAATTTAAATGTACTAGAATAGGAATAATGTTTTGCCTGTGAGCTCAGCCTTACAAGGCATCCTTCTAGACTGAAACATAAAGGAGGAGTGAAACATCTTGGGAAAACAAAATTGCTTCAAACACAAATTATGTACTGACTCTAGCTGGTTCTCCAACTACTTTTCTATGTCAGTGCTTGAAAGCCACTTTGGCTAGTATGTCCTCACTATCCAGGAAGACAGAACAATACTGTCTAGATGGAACACAACAGTGTCTGTGGATGGTCTCCCTATGTGCTATGAAGACAGAAGAGGCTGTGAGCCAGTTTCAGAAACTTCAGATAGGTGAGAAGCAAAGGATAAATGAGAAAAAAAATTGGAAAACAAAATGATCAATTTTGGTCTCAGAAGCCCCTTGAGCCCCATCCTGAATCCAGATCTGAGAGGCAACATGGAGAAAAGCGCCGAAGCAAAGCGTGGCTACCCCATTCCACCTGGGTGAAACGTGCCCACCTGTTGCTGATGCAGGAAGGATGGGTCTCTTGGGTTTAGTCCCACATATCGATTGGCTTGAGATGTGCCTGAGGCTGTGTAGGCTGATTAAGGAAGAACAAAAACAAAGATAAAAATTGTGAACTGTCAGAATGAACACCCTGTCCATGTATAAGAACCCAGAGAAGTGGGAGTTACTACCAAAAAGGTGTCTCCATTTCTCTTCTCTTTTGTGAATAGCAAATAACAAAAAAGAAATGGTCATTGAATTCAAATTAACTACTCCCCCCTAAAACTGAACCATAGCCTACGCTTTGGTGTGGCTGTCCTCACTGTGTTCTGCAGCTACAGTACTGCCTAGATGATGAGGCGTAGCTATACTGAAGCCTTTTCTAATAGACACACCTTTCACCTACGTCTAAGGGAATAATCAACCATGGCTGTCTGTGATTCTAAATGTGAAAGTAGATGAGGTGACAGGAAAAGTGACAGCTTTCAATGAAAGATTAAGCAGGGACACTTGATGATGAGCTTAAAAAAAATGTTTTCCTCAAATGTGTAATCCCCTCCCCCAAATCAAAAATCTACTACTACATTTTTAAAAGAGGAGCCCGGGTGGATTACATCTTTTATCTAATATGGGGGATGTCCTCCAGCTTGCGAGAGACATTTTTGACAAAAAATAAATAAATAAAATAAAAGGAAAAAAAGAATTAAAGAAAAAAATACAACAACAAACAAAAAAATCCCTTCATTTTCTGTTATTTTAAAAATAACTGCCAATTGCTTGTGATTGGCCAGGCAGGAACTGATAGTACTGATGGTATTATATTTGTATACCAGGTAGAGTAGATGTGGAGTGACTGCTGGTCACATCGCTGTGTTCTAGTTTACAACTACTTTTTGTATATGTGATTTTTCCAGTGGGGTGAACTGCCCAGAGAAATATTCTCATTTCTAAATCTACCTTTTACAAGGAAATGAAGAGTCAAGCTATTTCTGCATCTTTGGTGGAGCAGAAAAACCAAGTCTGTAACATATGTTACACTACAGGGTCTGAAAAGCCATTATAATTAGTTAGGAATTCAGACAGTGACATAAAA